TGTGCGACCACTTTAGGGATTCATAATATGAATTTCATATTCATCCTATAATTTCAATGGCTTATGGCTTATGTGTGTAAAGTCACTAAATTTTCAATCTTATCTCATCTCTAACTTTGAACACATTTTCATTGAATCCAAACCTAATTCGTGAATAACTTTTACTTTTCATGTAATTCATCTATTTATTAGTTTTGAATCATTTGATTGTTTTTTAAATATCACAATTCAAGTGGAATACACGTATCAATGCTTTGGGTAAGAAAATAAGTGTAGTTCCCTTAAAACCTTTGAATTAGTAATAAAAGTACCTGTCCTTGAGTTTCAGTTTCGATTTTATTTTCGATTACAAAATTCATTTAAAATTATATCAAAATGTTGCGAAAATTTCGTGCCTAATAATTAATTATATTGATTTTTAAAATATCAAGTTAATAATAGTGGTTTGTCTAATATACACGTGTGGTCAAAGCTAATCTATAACTAAGCTTATTGTGAACATAATTAATTTATAGTGGCTTTCCATAGTTTGCGTACATTTGTTGTTAAATGCAGATCTTTCTTGAATCTTATGTATTGCTTGAATTAATTTGTTTAGAAAATTCTTATAAACTATAAATGAGTAGTTGTTTATCAGTTTATTTAAGTTTGTGCAAACTTTTCCATCTCATACTGTAAATTATTAGTATAAGTATAGTATTAAGTTAGTATAGTTATTTATGCGAACAATTTAAATGAATTGCATTTTAAGTCTGTTTTAAATTTTTAAATTTACAAATATAAGTTACAATTTTTATTTTATTTTGTAAATTAAATTGTTAATTAAATAGTAAATTCTATGAAATAGTTATGTTAACACAGTATTTTTATAAAGTAATATGATTTTCTAATTTAAAATATTTATTTATCGGTACATTGAAGGTAATTATTAGTATTTTATTAAATTTTAGCTAATATTTAAGAAATGATTTAAATGTTTCATAATGTTTTTGTGAATGTACTATATTGAAATTTTAAAACTATTAAATTTTAAAAATCAGATAAATTATGGATAACTTCGAAGTGCCGACAATCCCGAAGATATTTGTTCCGCAAACAATTTTCACAAAACCTGAATCTCAGAGTTCATCGAAAAACTTGGATTCTTCGGCCAAGTCTTCAAACTCGGGAAACACGACTCAAACGACAGCATCTAATTCATTGGTCAAACCAACACTCCATAAGGAGACCAGAGAAAACACGACACCTTTGCCCTCATTCCCAGCGCCCCCGCAGTTATGCGCCTCCTGTTCCCAAGTCTTGTTGCAATACTTCGTTCCCCTCCAACACTATGTCAATGAAGTGATTAAAATAACCCGCGGAGGAGATAATGGAATTCCTATCACTCCACTCGTGGCCATCCAATCCACAACCACTAGCGCTGATGTCTCGAGCCTTGAAAATGTAAATAAGTCTTCCGATTATAACAGAGATGAACAACATTTGAAGACAAACTCCGGCAATGAATCGATAAGTGAGACTAAACACACGGATGATAGATCTCATCAACAATTTAATCAAAGGGTAACCAATGATGGCTCAGACGCTACCAGAAATGATAATTATGATAATCAATATGTAAATCAACAGCAGAGCCATAATTACGACAATCATTCCCACCAAAGAACAAATGAAAGCAATGGAAGAGATGGCCAACAAAGCGATTCCAGAAATTACAGCCAAACTTCAGAACCGACACATACTTCACGAACGAGTGAATCGATTGGAAACTCTAGACAACAGCATAATGTCTTTGAAGGC